GTGGGAAACAAATATTATTAATGTCAAAGAAGTACCGGCTTAATCGATATGAATATCCGAGTGGTTTTTCATTATCATATGTTGTTTCTTAAGGTGTAGTTTATTTTATTTGACAAGGTTTTTTTTTACTGGGTTCATAGTTTTGTCGGTAAGTAAGTGATGATTGTTTGAATTTGTCTGGCCGGGTGAATTACTAGATTAGATACACTTGTAAAGAGAAACTATTTTAAAATGAAATCGTAATCTCCGTTAGTGGAGGACATTAGGGAAAATAAATCCAGATTATTTCCAAAGAATGAAATGTAACCAAAAAAAAAAAAAAGGAAGAGAAACATAACAGCTAATATTCGATATACCATATGGTGCAAACAGCTAATATTGTTATTCATATTTGGATATCATTTACATTTATAGGAGATTGATTTTGAATTGACTGAAACCTTAAATCCAGCAATGTTTCCATCTATCACTTCAAAAAAAATCAAATTTCTTGAATTTCTATATATGCATAAATCAAAATGAGAGAAACGACGTCATTTTGAAGAATAAATGAAAATATATGTAAAAAAAAAATATATTTCTTCCGATTCAAAATGTAAGTTTTTTTGGCTAAAAGTGCAAATATTAAAAAATATTTTTCTAAAAAGTATCATCTTATATATATAATAAAAATAATTTAACCAATGAAAAAAACGATTACAAAATACTATTGATCACACAATAGTCAATAAAGTTAAAAAATGTATCTAAGATTATCAAAACAACTTATATTTTAAAACATAAAAAAATCTATAAAACAGCTTATATTTTGAAACCGAAGAAATATAATCTTTGTATTTTCAAGAGTAAAAAAAAAAAAAGAAGCCAATAAGGGAGAATAAAAGGTACGGAGAAAAATGTAAAGTACAGCTAAGATAGATAGATAGAGTTTCCCGATGAGAGAAGAAACTGAAGATTTTTTTTAAACACACTTCTGACTTGTGTCTATTAACAGTTTCTCATCATTGGTCTCTCCCACCACCTGATCTCTTGTCTTCTTTCTCCCTCCGGTTTACTCTCCTCAACCGG